AAATTACTAGTATTTGGGATTTGGGATTTGGGATTTTGGCAAAAAATACTAATCATAATTTGGGATTTGGGATTTTGACATTTGAGATTTCAGCATTTGGATTTTGAATTTGGGTGGCAGGTATATCTATTACCATGGTTACAAACTTTTTACTACTAATTTTTTCAATAATTATTGCAATTTTATTAACCAGCATTTCACCAGTATAACTTTCTTTGAAAAATTTTTAAGAGTAATAAGATATCCTTTTCTTTTAAATGTAATGATTATAAAGTTGTATAAAAATTAGATCTAATAGATATTCATTTATCTAACACTAAAATAATAAAATTTTAATGACAAATAATAATTATTTTTGTTTTTAATATAATTAATTAATATTTATTTAATGTAAGATTTTTTGCATTTTCTAACTCTTAATCTTTATATTGATTTATTTAGATAACTTTTATCTGATAATTATTCTGAAAGAGTTGTACAAGAAAAAAGTACATATTTGAAATTTATCTTTTTAAAAAATCTATTACAAATGGATTTTCAATAATTTCAAAAGGCACACCTGTTATTATTCATATTTTTATTAATAATTTATCTAAATGTGAATTAACTTGTAAAAAAAGTAATTGATTTGAACTAAAATCTTAAGTAATTGTAACTTGGTTATAAAATAAATCAGATTGTTTTGAAATATGTATATAATTAATAGTTTTCTCTGCTAATTTATCTCTTCAATATTTACTTATATCTTCAGAATATGATTTGCAAATATTAGCTAAATGTGCTTTCATAACTGTTGACTTTTCACATGTTCAAGTAGTATCACAGTAATAACATGTAGTTAAATAGTGACCATTTTTTTTGATTATTAGCTTGAATAAAATATTTCCATACTTTATCAAATTTTGCACCTCCAGTTTTAGTTATTTAAAATTTTTTTTTTTCTGTGTTATAAAATATTTATTATGATATATAATATGATTGACACTATTATGTTATATTAACTTCACAATTATTTTAATAATAATTATTCTGAAATAATTATTTTGATAATAATTATTAAATAATTATTTTGATAATAATTATTAAATAATTATTTTGATAATAATCATTATTAAAATAATGGTTATTGAAATAATTAATTATCAATAATAATTATTAATAATTATTGATAATTATTACTATAATTATTTTATAATTATCAATAATTTATTAATTATTTTGATAATAATTAATAAATTGTTATAATTGCTTCTATTGATAATATAATAATTATTGATAATCAATAATTAGTTATTAAATTAATTATTACTATATTAATTATCAATTATAATATTATCAGAATAATAATTATTGCAACAATAATATAGTAATAATTATTGATATAATCAAAAATTAATAATAGTAATAATTAATTTATACTAATAAAATGCCAAAAAGGGTTTTAAGTAAGATTAAAGAAAATATTATTGTACATCTACTTTAACAGTTTCAGACTAACATTGTCAAAATTGATAAAGTAATTAGTATTTAAGCTTTAAAAAATAATTATTAATTTATTCCATCAATTCTTAAGATATAAGTCTTAAATCTCTACAGTAGATGCAAATTATTTTTATCTTTAAGATTACTTAGTATTACTTTTAGTATTTAATTAGTATTAAGTAAAGTTTTATATGTGATAACCATAACTATTAGTATTTTTAATGTTAAAATGATCAACAGTAAATTTTGATCTTTTTTAGTCGTGATCAAGTAAAGTCCCGATTATTATCGTACTAATAAAAGTTGTAGCTCTTGTTTTAAGCTACAAGTTCAAATAAGATTACTTGATATCTTCGATAAATATTTGTTGAGATCGACTAATATAGTAATTAAACAATTTAATTTAAATTTTTTGATTAATTTTATTTAAAACAAGATTTCTGAACAAGCAAACATCTAATTTTAATAAACAAGATATCAAATAAAAAAAATTCATTCAATTTAGATTATTCATTGGGTCATAATTAACTTTTGAAAAATGCTAATAAAAAAAGTTTTTGGACCAATACTTTTGATAGGGGAGTGTACATAGTATAATTTTTATTAAATTATAATTTAATTATTGAAAATATTTATTTTTTCACAATCTTCGACTGGAGAACGCGTATACGATTACCTTTGTCTCCTTCCATCCAGGAATTGTGGTATCAAATAAAACTTTTACATTAATTTGATACCCCGTAAAAAAATTTCTTTTTGGACCATGTGGATATGAAAACGAAATTTGATATTAAATTTTTTTGTGTTCATGTATTTTGAATAACATGTTGGCATACGAATTTCCAAAAAATGAAAAAATTGTAGTTTTCTTTTAATGGATTGCAATTAAAAGTCTACTTAGTTTAAACCATTTTTTTCTATCACTAATTTCTATTTTGTAGGTTTTTACCGACCACCAACTGCAACTTCCAACCACCAAGACTCAAAAAATTTCCGATGTTTGTTACGATGATTTTTTAGTTATTCGAATATGGAATATCTGTACTAAAATGATGCACGGATTTAGTTGTCAGCATAGATTGTACATTTGTATGTGTCTTGTGAATTGAAAAATGACGGAATTCAATTTATCAGGTACATAACCTCGTTCTATTCTTTATAAATAAATATAATTGTATATTTTAATTGTAAAACTTGTAATTTATTATATCAGAATCATAAAATTAAATAAATCAATTTATACTATGCTGTGAAAAAAAATTTTTTTCTTGAAATATTTATTATTAAATACTAAATGTATGGTAAAATTACAGTATTTTATTACTATTATTAAATAATAATAATAATAAAAATAATAATAAAATAATAATAAATTAATAAAAAAAAGCATATATAAAAATAAAGTTAAATTATTAATTATTGATTGTATCCTCCAAGCCATCCTCATAGCTACAATACTGAATTAAACAAAATTTTTAAATATAAAAAAAATCACTGTTAAATTGAAAGTAAACTTATAAATAACAAAAAATAGGAGTTTAAAATGCGTCCCATTCAATTAGAAAGAAACCAATATTTTGTGTGTAATAATAGAGGAGGTAAAAGAGTTCTACTATCTTTCTTGTTTTTCTATTTCTTCTTTTCCTTTTTCTTCTTTTTTTTCTTTTTCTTTTTCTTTTTCTTGTCTTTCTTTTTCTAGTCTTTCTCGAGCCAATCTCCTTCTCCTTCTTCTTCTGCTAAATCTTCTTCCTTTATCTTTTAAAATAATAATTTTAAAATAATAACAACAATAATTTGTAATACTTTAACATTTTACTTACTTACATCTTTTTGTAGAGATTTCATTATTCAATCCTACCAATGTATATATAACATCTTTATCAAACTTTGGAGGTTCAACTGTAGAACAATAATCGGGATGTTTCTCAAGTTCTTTGATAAATTCTTCATAGGCATTTTGAGCATCAAGAGCTTTTTGATCGAATAACTCGAGTAAATTTTGAAGCTATAATTTAAAAATTTATTTATTTATTTATTTTTATTCTCGGTTATTCTCGGTTATTCTCAGGGTTTTTTTAATCAATTATAAAATATAATAACAAATTCAAAAAAAAATACCTCTCGTTTTTTAATAAGAATTTCTTCAGAAACATAATAATCTTCTAATTCTTCACCCTCCAATAAACAATCTACGAAAGATTTTTTTGCTTTTTTAGGATTTGAAGGCCCAGAAACTGCAGGTTCGTCATTATTATTATCATTCTTTTTCCTTTTAATGTCCAATATTTTTTCTTTTATTTTATTTTTAAATTTGACAGTATTATTATTATTATTATTATTATTATTATTATTACTATTATTATTATTATTATTATTATTATTATTATCATTATTATTATTATTGTTATTATTATTATTATTATTATTATTATTATTATCATTGTCTTTATTATTAAAAGCAGCTTTTATAATTGTCCTGGTTCTAGTTCCGGTTGTTGTTATTCTTCGAGCATTTGGTCGAAGAGGAGTGGATCTAATAGCAGTTTGTTTTTTTCTAAGAGGAGAAGGTTTTTGAGTTATATTACCATTATTACTAGTCTCTCCTTCTTCTACCTCACCCTCTTCTAATTCATCTTCTACTATAATATTGTTATTATTGTTATTATTATTATTATTATTATTATTATTATTATTATTATTATTATTATCTTTTAAATTATCATTACTCTCTTTATTCTCTTCTAAAATTCCTCTATCAGGATTATCTGTAGTGGTATTTTCAACAACGGGAAGAATGGGTTCAGAATTTGGTAATTTTGAAATCCAAGCATGAATAGCTGCTATTTGAGGTTCTATTTTTACAATATTATCTGAAGACGAACCATTTTCGTTTGTTATTTTTCGCTTTTCTCGATCTTGATCTACTACTAATAATGAGTCATTTTGAGTTTTCTCCAAATTATTTAAATTATTATTTTTTGATCCGGTACTTGAATTTTTTTCTGCGTCATTATTTACCGAAGATGATGAATTTTCAGGTATTTTTTGTGTCAGAGGAGTATTATCTTCAATCTGTTCTTCTTTAATATGTACATTTCCTTCCATCTCAATTTTTTTAAAAGAAAGATAGTCGATAACAAGATAATAAAATCATTTCATTCAAATCACGTGCTTTGGTTACTCGATATACAGGTCAAAAAGTTTCATAAGTTAATGCACTTTTTAATAAATGATTTATAATAAATATATACAAATGACAACTAAAAAGCCCCTCTCCAAAAAACAATTAAAAAATATTTTTATGAATTTAAAGTATTTTTTTTTTCCCTCCTTTATCCCCCGACTCATTTATATATACATGTGTATATACTGTACTGTATGTCTATTTTATACATAAATTTTATATAAACTTTACAAAAATGAGATAAAAAGATGAAACTAAACTCTTTGTTCTTGAAATTGAAGATCTTTTGCATACATTTTTTGAAAAGTTGCATCATATTGATAATATTCATATTTCAATTGTTTAGCTAATAAAATAAATAATATCAATAATGTTAATAACAAATTTATTTACAGCAACAACAATGATAATAATCAAATTATTTTTACCTGCTGCTTTCAATCCTTCATCAAAATTTCTGAGTACCATTATAGCAAATACAAATGTTACCTATGAAATAATAATAAGAATAAGAATGATTTAGAATAATTAGAATAAATAAAAATTTTAAAAACTTCTTTTAAATTTGAATTTTTTAATATATACCAGAGACAATAAAAAGAATATAATTGCTAAAAATAAAATAATTAATTAAATTTAATAATTAATATAATAGCTCAAAAAAATAACAATTTAATAAACAAATATAAATAATCATAAATCATAAATAATAACTTACTAAACAATAACCAAAATGTTTGTCTCTTATCCACAGCAATGCTTCCATTGGCTAAAATTAAATATAAACAATCAACAAATACAAAAAACCAAAATATCATGAAAAATATCATTGCAGTTTTTGATTCTTCTGTAACCTAATTAATAATAATAATAATAATAATAATAATAATAATAATAGAATAATAAATATAATGTGAATGTAATATAAATATAAAATATATGTATAATATAATATTTTGATATATATAATAATTACCCCATAAAAAGCCAAGGCCTCAAATATAAACATCAAAAGTAATATCAATAAATTTAAAGTGAAAAGTACTTTTAATAAATTTGATGAATTTTTAATTAATGGTAAAACTGCACCCAACGATAAGATAAGGTATAAGAAAGTGAAAAATGCCATTAGTCTTAAACATAAAACAAATATTAATCGTGTTCGATACGATTCTATAAAATAATAATAATAAATTAAAAATTAAAAAATTAGAGAATTCTCGACATTTAATAATAAAAGAAGAAGAATAGATGAATATTTAATGAATATTTAATGAATATTTAATTACTTTGTAAATCTAAATCCGTCGGACTAATTCTTTTATATATTGACCAATCATATTGTTTATAAAGAGGATACAATAATGCAGCAAAAAGAATGGTGAAAATAAATGTAATTAAGATATGTGGAATTTCATTCGCTCCGAATTGAGTATTTACTGTAAGTTGAGAACATGCGCTCGTTATACTTTCAATTGATGATTTAACATCATTTAATTGTAACTAAAAAAAAAAAAAAGAGAGAGAACGAAATAAAAGTTTGTAAATGAGTAATCAATCAAATGAGTGAATGAATTTAATCAATTAATTATATATTTTAAATTAGATTTTATTATTTATATTATTTATAAATATATTTACAATTCCAAATATGCCTGCTCCGAATTCTAATATAACGAATATAATAACTTGGACCATGTTCTGATGAAAAATCTATAAAATGACCAAAAAAAAATCATTAATAATTATAATAAATTACGCGATCAAGGAAATTCAATGGTGAAATACAAACCGCATTAAAACAAAATGAAACTTGAAATATATGAAAAAACAAAAAAACCAAATTTTCCGCGAAAATTAAAGTTAACGGAAAGAAAACATTTTCTATTGAACATTCTTCAGTGATAGAATTCTTTTTTCCCATATAAGGCATTATATCATGGACAAATAAGTAAATATTTCTACTGGTGATTTTTAGTTGGAATAATATTAGAACGATTGCTTGTGTTACGGCGAATATGATAAATGTTAAAGTGAATTTTGATAAATTGATCAACTGCCACTAATTATTATATTATTTTTACGATATGAAAATCGAAAATCAAATAATTAATAACGATTTTTGAATGGTAAAAAATAAATAAAAATAATATCAAATAATAACCTTTTTTTTAGTATCTTTCTTGAATTTAGAAAACATTGTTTTATATTTTTATATTTTTATATTTTTATATTTTTATATTTTATCTTAATAATTATATTTTTATCTTTATATTTTTTTATATTTTAATATTTTTTTATATATATTGAAATATAATAATTGTTAAATATAAGAATTTTCTTGATTAATAATTGACAATCCGGTACAGTTCATATTTATATTTCATTATTTGTTTGTACCTGTTGTGTAAAAGAGAGTCCTAAATTTATACGAAACTTCCTTTATCAAGGAATGATGATCCCCGAATTTGAATTTAGGAGTATGAGTTTGTAATTTCGTTAGAGATCTATATATAAATGATCAAACAATCAAAAAAGAGATCATTATGAATTCATACTAACAAGTTTCGTAACTAAATTTCTTGTATGTAGAAATTACACAAAGGACCCTTTATGTACTATTTCTGGAAAAACTGCATTGATTGCGTGAATGTTTAGCATGCCATATTTGATGGGCTTTATTTATCCGAAAATGGATAAAGTTTTGACAGAAATGATCTGAAACATCCGAAACATCCGAAGGGTTTGATATAATCCGATGGTGTAATCGAACTAAAATCACGGAAAATAGTTATTTTTATTTTATCATAGTAAAACCTGCTAATTCTAGTAATTATTCAAATTATTCATTAGTCATATTCAGATCTGATATTGTCTCGAAAATTGATGAAATTTATTCTAAAAATGATGCCATTTTTTTTATTTGTAGGATAAAAAATTAATTTAAAGTTATGTGTATGTGTAAGTGTAAAAATATACCCCCTAGTTGATAAATTGGGTGAATAAAAAAATATATAAATATGAGAGATAAACTTGAATTTGGCAAGAGAGATTCTAACATTAAATTAATTAATTGACAATAAAAATAAAATTAATTAAATTAATAATAAATTAATTAGAATAATATTTAATTAATTATAAATTTAAAAATTAAATTAATTAATAATGACAAATCGATCCTTGTATAGATCAATAGGCGGAGATGATCAACATTATTCAAGATTTTTTAGATTATTTAATAAATTAAATAAATTAAGATTTATTTTGGTTGCTATTTTATTTTTTATTTTTATAATTTTATTGGGAAATTTAATATTTAGAGGTAAAAATTAAAATTTGTATTGTTTAAATTGATTTAATTAATTGATTAATTAATTAATTAATTATTTTATTTTATTTTTCAATTTATTAATGTCATGTTTAATTTATTTATTCATTGTTTAATTTATTTATTGTTCAATTTTTACAGAAAATTTTACAGAAAAATTCAATAAAGAAAATGGAAGCTCAGGTTTGATTATTGCAAAAAATGGAGCAGTAGCTTCTGAAGTGGCAAATTGTTCTCAATTTGGTGTTGATGGTAAAAATAACAATTATTTATATCTATTTCTAAAATAATAAAATAATAAATGATAAAATAATAAAATAATAAAATAATTAAATAATAAAATAATAAAATAATAAAGTAAATAAAATAATACTTGATATCTAATAAACATAATAAACATAATAATAGTTTTAAAGGAAGGAGGAAATGCTGTAGATGCGGCGATTACAAGTATGATTTGCGTTGGAACTGTTAATTCATTTTCAGCTGGAATTGGAGGGTAAAATTATCGATTTATTAATTAATTAATTATTTTAATTATTATAATTATTTTAATTATTATAATTAAATTATATTATTTTAATTATTTTAAGTGGAGGATTTATGTTAATCAGATTACCAAATGGAAGCGCGGAAGTAATAGATTTTCGAGAGGTAGCTCCAATTAAATCCAATAAATATATGCTTAATTCCGATAATAAGCCTGGATTAACCATTGGAGTTCCGTAAGTAATAATATTAATTATTAATTATTAAATATTTATTATTTATTATTATTTATTATTATTATTAATTAATTAATTTTGATATAGTGGCGAAATTGCTGGAATGAAACTCGCTCATGAAAAATATGGAAAATTACCTTGGAAACGACTTTTTATGCCATCAATAAATATAAGTCGTAATGGATTTCCTGTACCTGCAGAATTAAGTATTCGATTAATGGTATTTTTATTTAATTAATATTTCAACTATTTCAATTATTTCAATTATTATCATATATTTAATTAATATTTAAAATTAATATTTAAAATAAATTCTAGTTATATAAGGAAATAGTATTAAATAATCCAATACTTTCATCAATATATGCTCCAATCGATGGTAAATTATTAAAAGAAGGAGAAACTTTATACCGAACTAATTACTCAATAACTTTGGAAAAAATTGCTAATAATTATACCGAGTTTTATAAGGTAATTATTAAAGAATTATTGAATTTATATAATAATATGTAATTGTTAATGATTATTAATAACAATTAATAGGGCTCAATTGCAAAATCATTAATAAAAACTATTCAAGATGCTGGTGGAATAATGATTTTAGAAGATTTAGTTAATTATCATCCAGTAGTGCGTAAACCAATTATTGGTTATTATAATGGACGAAAGGTGAATTATTCACTTATTATTATTATCATTTTCTTCTTTTTCTTCTTTTTTTCTTCTTTTTCTTCTTAACATATTGTTCACATATTATTCGCATATTAAATTATAGATAATAACAACACCAGAGCCTGCAAGTGGTGTAGTATTAATATTTTTATTAAATTTATTGGAAAAATATGAATTACATAAGAGTGGACTTACTGGAATTAATTTACATAGGTTATTAATTTATTTATTATAATTATTATTGTTGTTATTGTTTATATTGTTATTGAAAGTATTTCTAATTTTTTATTCGTTTTTTTTTTTTTTTTTATTCATTTAGAATGGTAGAAGCACTTAAATGTAAGATTTCATTTATTGCATTTTATAAAATGGTTGGTTATATTCAATTTGTTTAATTTATTTACTTAATTTTTTAGTTGGTTTCGCTCGACGTACTGAAATTGGGGATTCTGCATTTGTAATTATTTAATTATATCATTTATATTCTAATTATTATATTATATATTCTAATTATTACATTATATATTCTAATTATTATATTATATATTCTAATTATTATAAATTATTATATTATATTTAATAATAATATTATAAAGTTTGAAAATAAGACTGAACACAATTTACGTATATTGGAATTAATTTCCAAAGAATATGCTGATATAGTACGAAGAAATTTAACAGATGTAATTAATCTTAATTAGTATTCAAATTCATCCATATTCAATTCATTATTTATTCAATTCATATTAAATTTGATTCAGGATGAGACGCATAACCCGAATTATTATAATCCATTATATTCAGAAGTAAATGATCATGGTACAGCACATTTATCTGCTATTGATAATAATGATATGGCAGTGTCATTTACATCTACTGTAGGTTTTATTTTTATTATTATTTAATTATTAATTTATTATTATTAGTTATTAATTATCAATTATTAATTATTATTGATTATTTGTTATTAGGTAAATAGAATATGGGGTTCACTAGTAATAGACTCAAATACTGGAATTATACTTAATGATCAAATGGATGATTTTTCAAGACCTGATAAACCTGATTTCTTTGGAATGTTCCCTTCACCATATAATTTTATTAGTAAATATTATTAAATATTTTAAATATCTGATATTATTATTATTACATATTATTTATTAAAAGACATTACTACTTATTAATTATTACTAATTTTTTTTAATTATTAAAATTTTAGAACCAGGTAAAAAACCATTATCATCTACAATTCCAACAGTAATAGAAAAAGATGGTAAATTGGAATTAGTAATTGGTGGAAGTGGTGGAACTAAAATTATTTCTGCTGTATTACAGGTATTTATATTTATTATATTATATAAATAATTATATTAATATAATAATTATATTAATTATATTCAATTTAGGTTATAATAAATGCATTGGATTTTGATATGAATTTATTACCAGCTGTCAATAATCCTAGACTTCATCAACAATTATTTCCTGAACAAGTAATTTGATAATTATTTCTTTATTCTTATTTCTTTCTTCTTATTGCTTTCTTTCTTACTTATCAATTTATTTTGTTTATTTATTCATTTATTCATTTCTTGAAAAATTAGGCATTCTTTGAGTCAGGATTCTCATTTAAATTAATAGAAAATTTATTGGAAATTGGACATGTGGTATGTTTTCACATGATATTTACATAATGTTTATATAATGTTTACATAATATTTACATAATTTTCACACTCAATTTAGATACAAATGTCTAATATTCATGATAGAAGATTTTCTGCTATGGTACAAGCCGTTAGGAAATTTAATAATAATACAATTCATGGTAAATATTTAATATTATTATTATTATTATTATTATTATTATTATTTATTATTATTATTCATTCTATAAATTAAAATCTCTCAACTAAATACTTTCAGCTGTTAGTGACTTTAGAAAACTTGGAAAAGCAGCAGGATATTAAAAAAAAAATACAATTATTAATATATTTAATATATCCGATTATAAAAAATGTTCTTATCTTAAATGTATCATTTTAAACACTAATTCATTCATTATATAGATTCTCTATTATTTAAAATAAATATAAATACAAGATATAATAATTTAAATTTCAATGAAATCAATAAATTTAAATTTGTAAATTATCAAATGATTCATTAATATCATTAAGTCTTAAAAACACATCACATCCGTGACCATAAAGTGACATAAGACTTAAAGATCCACCAAAATATTGTGCATATATTCGAGCCAAAGGAAGTCTATATTATAGAGAAATAATGAAGATAATATAAATAATGAGAATAGTAAATAATATCAATTATATAATAACATCAATTATATAATAATTTATAAATTTTACCCATAACCTAATCCTGCAATAGGTCCACCTAATCCAGTTTGCATTGAAATTCTAGAAACATCTGCCAAAATGTTATCTGTAATTGTTTCATCTTGTGGAACAGTTGTAAAAGAATAATCAAATATTGAAGGTAAATCTTTAGGTGATATCCCTCCTCCTTGATCTTTAACTCTTATTCCAACATTATTACTATTTCCTCTAGATATTGTTACTTCAACATTTGGTTGTTCTTTTCTTTTCATTTTTCTACTATATTCAACTGTTGCTCTATATGAATTTTTAAGTATTTCTGAAATAATATATTCAAGATGAACACTAACATATGTAAATGTGATATCTATCTGTCCATTAATTGTTATATCTGGTGATGTCCCATAATGAATTTCACAAAGTTCTTTTACAAAATTTGCACATGATTTAATTAATTTGATTGGATTAGTATTGATATCAATAATCCCTATATAATTGGAACCCGGTTTATTATTATGTAATGCTATATGTTGTTCTGCAATTAATCGAATAGCAATTCTTGCTCTAATCATATCATCAAGAAATTCTGTTATATCTTGTAATGACATATATTTTTTACACTCTTGAAATCCTATATAATAAAGATATATAATAAAGTTATATAATAAATAAAGTTATATAATAAATAAAGTTATATAATAAATATATAATTAATAGTTACCTCTTGCTAGTACTGGAATATTATCTGTATGTGCTGATACTATTTCTGCCAACATTTTTGCAAATTGTATATCAGTTTCCTCTTTAGTAATTTCTGGAAAATTACAAATTAATTCAAATGTATCAAAATATAATTGATAAATTTTTCTAATATGAGGATTAGTTCCTACAATAAATGGAAGTTTTTGTAAAGCTTTAACCCGACGAGCAAGACGAACGGGAAGTTCGGATTTAGTATATTGTGCTGATTCAAGAAGTTTAGATGTATTTAATGGTGGTTGACCAAATTGAAGTAATTTTTTTAACGTAACTGGTTTAATTGATTGTTCTGAATACTATTAATAAAATAAAATAAAATAATAATAAAATAAAATAATAAAATAATAAAATAAATAATAAAATAAAATGATAAAATAAAATGATAAAATAACAAAATAAAATAGAAAAATAAAAAAATAAAATAAAAAAAATAAAATAGATAATAATATTAATTTAATATATATTACCCGAGTAACTTTATCATCATAAAAAGAAACAACTTCTTGTGTCGTTGTAAATGTTCTTTTTGGTATAAACGAATTAATTGAATTAAATTTTATTAATTTCCTAAACGCCACTTTAGTTGCAATCATTATTAATATAAAGTTGAATTAAAAAATAAAAAATTAAAGTTTCAATAATTTTAAATCAATGATCAACAAGATTATCTTCAAAAGAATGAATACTATTAATATGGTTAGAAACCAAAAATCCGCGATTCGTGAAGAAATGCGTAATTTATTAAAACAAATACCTATTGATATAATCGAACGAGAAAGTGAGAGACTTTTTACCAAGTGTTACTTTTATTTTTCTTTAAAAGTCAATTAAATTGATTTAATAATACTGCATTTTTTTTTAAGAAAAGGCGCGATTGTAAGTGATAAAGTACTTACTTCCAAAGAATACTTGAATAGTAAAAAAATAAGTGTATATTTAAGCATGCCGAATTCTGAAATATCCACTAAAGCCATAATTCATGATATTTTTCAAAAAGGTATAATAATAAATAATAAATAAAAATGTAAAGTATAATTTTATCTAATTTTATCTTCTCGTCAATTTAATAATATGGATAATGAAATAGATAAAATATGTTATGTACCACGATGGAACAAAGATGCTATGGAGATGGTCAGACTTTTATCATATCAAGATTATATTTCGCTTCCAGTTAATCGTTGGAACATACCTGAACCATCCCATGATAATAATTATGAAATTGGTAAAAGAGTTATTTTCTTTATAATAATATTATTATTATTTTATTTATTTATTCTAATTACTATTATTTATTATTTTTTCATTTTTATTCACTTTTATATGTAGCAACTGAATTGGACTTGATTATAATGCCAGGTTAAAGATCATTTTATTTATTCATCTCATCTTATTATTTTATTTATTTTAGCTCTATTTTAAGGTTTGGCATTTGATCTTCAAAGAAATAGGCTTGGTCATGGAAAAGGGTAATATATTAATTATATTTTATTATACTGATTATATTTTATTATATTTAATTATATTTTTATTATATTTATAGATATTATGATAAATATTTGGCTAAATGTAAAAATTGGGCCAAAGAGAATAATAGACAATTACCAAAAACTAGTAATTTGATTTTGCAGTTTTATTTATTTTATTTTATTTATTTTATTTGTTTCTTTAATTATTAACTTTTTCTTTCTTTATTTATTATAAAATATATTTAAAAACATATATATTTAAAATAGTGGCATTATCATTGGAATCTCAATTGTATAAAGACAAATTTTTGCCAACTTGCATTTATGATCAAAAATTAGATTTCATTATAACTCCATATCATATAATAATGTAATTCAAAAATTCATTAAAGATATATATGCAAAAAAGAAAAATATAAGAAATAAAAATTTATACAAATTATTATAAAATTCAATAATAAAAAAATTTCTGGAAATTTATATCATGTTAAATTTTTATAATATTATGAGACTTATAGAAATTTTTAAAAATATTATAGAATTCTAATGTTGATGTAAATTTTCAGAAATTTTTGTTGTATAAATTTGTAATGAATCTACAAATTCATTAGGAAAAATAATAAATATTAACAAATATTTATTTGAGACTTATTTTATAATTAAATAATTGAACAAGAATTAGTTTTTCTTTTATTTATTTTGTTTATTTATATGCCTTATATATAAAAATACATGATTATAAATACATAATAATTATATATAATAATTAATAAATAAGATCTTAAATCTTATAAGATCAATTCAGATGATCTTCATCAGGAAATTTTTTCTAGTGAAAACCTTCAAAAGTTAACGTTAATGTAAGTATTTTGCTATTTTTCGATATGTTATCCTTCGAAGGTCTTCACTAACTTTCGAAGGTTATCGATTTTGATATTTTCACGTGGCAAAATTTTGCGAATATTATCGTTTTCGTAGTAAATTTATA